CGGCCGGCAATCGGGCGAAGGCGGGGTACACCCTGGACAGGTCGCCAATCCATCGCAGGGCTAACACATAGACGAACAACCACGCACATGCACTCCTATGGGCAATTTTTAGAGACACCAATCAACCTAAGCTGCATGTCTTTGGACTGTGGAAGGAAGCCGGAGTACCCGGAGAGAACCCACGCAAGCACGGGGAGAACATGCAAACTCCACACAGAAAGGTCCCGGGTGGGGCCCGAACCCGGAACCTTCTCGCTGTGAGGCAACGGCGCTAACCACTGCACCACAGAACATGTTATGTTAAAAGCATTGTGTGATGCGAATAGTTAGTCAGTTATTCTCACTTTAAAATCCAGATATGGTTAAATTGATCATCTTTTTTTCAACTCAGGTTACAAGAGAAGACTGCCTAGAGACAAGAGACTAGAGTCATTTCTTCTGCTATGAGCCCTCAGGGTTTCTTTACACTTACCTCAATTACATGTCATAAGCAGTTTACACAAGAATTTCAGGCTAAAATATACATTTTCTTAATCGAAATCATCCTGCACCCAAAACCATATTTGAGTTAAAGCACTTTTTAAACAAAGTTTGATGGTCAAAAGTCTTCAGCATTAGTTTGAATTAGTAACCTGCAGAATCAGTATGCTAAGTATGAGTTACCAAAACACTAATATACTTGCTCACCAGATCTGTTCTTGTACATGTCAGAAAGAATGAGTCATTCAAACTTCAGGCCTACACACAGTGACATGTGAAGAAAAAATAATCCCACAGATTTATTGTAATGTAATCAAATATCAGATAACATGTAATGTTAAAATAAAGACGATGTGAAGTGTCTGCTGGTAACACTGCAGCCAAATTTGTCTCGTAGTCACAAAGGATGTTACTGCAATTGGACTTCTGAAAATGATTGACAACAGGAGCTCCTGAAGTGTGAAAACCGACAAAGCAAATAGGAAATGCATGAACTCTGCTCAAAGTAGATGTTTTTTTTAGACTGCATCTTCAACTTTGTTTCCATGGTAGACACTACATGTGCTTCATCTACATAATAGTGCTTTATGCCAAGAGATGCAGAAAATAGTATGTAGATGTAGTTTATAGTAGTTTATAAAGGAAAATGGGAAACGTGTTCTTGCATCTTCCATCGTTTAAGATCTATTTGCTTTCTTTATGCTTAATTGTTTTGCATAGTCTTATCATATACTTGCAAATATCGGTATCTCTCAGTTTGAAATGCCATTTGAGGCCTTGAGCTAGAGACTGTTTGGTTCAGTTGCCCATTTCCATGCCGCAGATAAATGGTGATTAGCGATGGTGATTCGACCTGTACTAAACTAACAGCCAGCAGAAAGTGAAAACAAGACATTGACACACTAGCACTTTTAAAACACTTGTCCATGGGGCATGTGGGGCGTGAGTGCACTCTGTGGAGTGTGTGTGTGCTGGCTTTTCAGCTTTGACAGTTGTGACAGCAGTTGTTTGTCTGAACAGGTGTTGGCAGCCAAGTGCCGCGCTGACTGCTGCAGAGCCGAGCCAAGTCAAGCCTTCCGGTTTGACCCACACCAAGGCGTTCTTTGTGGATGTCCTGTCATGCCTACTCTAAAACTCCCTCCATTTATCATCACAGTATGAAGAGTAGATAACTATTTCCAGGATGTCATTTGTCAAACCAGCCATCACATAACAGATTTCTCACTGGATGGGCTTCTCATTGGCCGTCACTGTCAGAGCACCTGTGAGCTGCCAGTCAAGCCAGCAGAGATGACTCTATTGTGCGCTCTTGTCTCTCCTGCCACATTTTTTTCCTACTATAAACTAGTTAGTAATTCTTTATAATAATAAAAGTGTATTACGGAGCTGTAACGGTACATTTCTGATGTTTTCCTGGATGAACCTAAACATGTAAGATATCGACTACAAACTGTTGTATTTGATTTGACGCTGATACATTGCTCTTAAAGAATGCTACATTAGCCCTAATCCCAGCTAGGGGTGGCACATTTTACATGCATGTAAAAAGTAAATTAAAACCCCTAGTTTTATAAAATAATAAACCATACATTATTAAGAAGACAGGACATTTTTGGCCAACTGTGCTGCTAATTTACTCCTGACCAGGGACATCACACGGTGGGCCCCTCCGCCCCAACTGAGGCAAATCATGCAAGTACTCCACAACAACACAAATGTCATGCTGGATGCATGATGCCAATATGAATTACAGCTGTATAAAGCACCTGTACAATTTTAGTTGTATTTAAGTCAACAATTAGTTATTGATTTTTAGTTTTCACTCATTAAGTTTTCATTCTTTATTTTTCTCCTGACATGGGTGATTTCACCAGCAGAGGGCAGTAGAGTCTTAGACAAGAAGTTAATAGTGTTATTTGCCATCCTTATAATTTTAGACTTGGCATAAATATAATTAGTGCTGCTCAGGACATATAACTGTACTGGGTAGTAATTAAGTGGAAATAGTAAAGGCACCTAGTAATGTTATGTTGTTGATATGTTGTATTCTAAACACAGTCTTAATGAGCTCTGGTTATTTCGGATTAACTCACTGTGTCTATTTTGTTAACACTGCTTGCATGCTTAAGTGGATGTTAGCTGACAGGACTGCCCTTAGTTAAGATGCTGCTGCAGGTTTAAACACCAGGTCTCTCTACAATTCGGCTTTAATGCTGAGACTCCTCAGCCTTTCATACGAAGCTGCTCAGAAAATACGTGCTCAACCCAACTACAAGTGGCACTGTGACACTATGATGTCACAGATAGCAATCGATGATTGAGAGGAAGGTGTATCCCCAGACAGTATATGGATATTGCACAAATGGAGCTGTATGAGTGGCTCCCCTATGACTTAAAATCTTGGCAGAGTTTAAAAAATGTGTAATATGTCACTCTTTTTATTCATTTCCCCTTTCTGTTCCCTTAATCCTTTCCCCTGTACAAGTTGCTCTTTCTGACTCTCTCTTTCCTTCATGTCTTCTGTTTTATGTCCCCAGGAGATCTTCTAAATACTGCAGCTGGGACTAAAACTGTGTCATTCAGTGACCTGATTCATTTTTATGCCAGTTTTCATCATGTGGGTGATTCCCTCTATTGCACAGTCACAACTGCTTGACATTCAACAGCTCAAGTGTGAAGCACCATCTTTTTTTAATTCACATGATTACATCTGACTACCAGGTTCTAGAAATCTCCCAGAACAACTTGTTTCTTTAATTTATAAAACACTAGGTCAGCTAAGAGAAAAACAGAGCAATGTTTTAATACTGTGGTCCTGCACATTTGACAACATGCTGTGTTAATTGTATTTTACCAATTAAGACCAATCTTTGTTAGTGCTGTCATCCCCTTGAAGTGTCAGTCTTGTGGTTGAAGTTTCATTCCCTCTTGTCTTGAGCTTTCAGACTGTAGCTCTTCTCTCTGAGTTCCTCTCTTCTCTTTCAGCTCAGCTAATGTTTAAATCTTTCTCTTCCCTTTGGCGTCGTAGATGGGAAGAATGTTTCCCAGCATACACTGGACAGCACTCCGTCTCAACCAGATGTCCACAGAGAAACAGCCTCAGACACCGATCTGGCTGCTTTCAACCGGGCCACATCAACAACCAGCTGAATTAAGATTTCATGAGGTCATTTCTGGTTATTGCTTTCTGTAGGAGAGAGCAATTAGAATCCAGTGAGTCTGACTAGGGTGTTAGACTATAAGGCTCAACGAGGTACAGCACACAAAAGCATGTATACGTTTAGTAGCAGTATATCATGTCAGTACATATGCAGTATGACTCAACATGTTAGATATTGATTATTTAAGTGTCTTGCACCACATCGTACCCGGCTCATAACAAAAAGACACGCTGCTTCTCTCCTCTGTCTTAGCTGCAGCACGTTTTCTAAAAGCCTTGCCAATATAAAAATCCAACAAGACAAAACTTAGCGCATGCACCTCCAAAATATTTTATCAGGTGCTAGATAAAAAAAAATCCGCACACTGAACTAAGCTCCCAATAGTTTTAATGAAACTGCAGCAACAATGCGATGTACCTGTGAGCTAGTTTGACAATGCCTGACAAAGACCTTTCTTAGATCAATTCTTAACACTGAGTGTCTTGTATCTATCTCTTTGCTGTTGTAACGGTGTGAAATCCCCTGTTGTGGGATTAATAAAGGTTCTTCTTATCTTAATATCCTCATTTAACCGGACAGTGTGAACCTGATCAATCTGTGTACTTAAGAAGCCTGCTTTCTATATAGATATACATGCACTGTACAGCTTGTGCATAATTAAGACATTGAATTCAGGCCTTTAAGGCATGCATTTATAGCTCCCTTTTATGAGCCATTTCACTGATAGAAACACAACTATTCTCTCTCAGACACCAATAAATAAACACCTGCCTTATGGACCTCGAGGTCATTAAGCTGGTGAGGAAGAGTGCAGGCTGCTGTTCTAATTAATGTCTGTTTTTGCCTCCCTGAAAGGACTTGTTATTCTCTCTCTGCTCGCTCCACAGAAGGTAGACTAGTGTTTTTTGTCTGCTGCTGCTCTCAGGGCTTGTTAAAAGAGGAGCAGAGTGCCTGGGTTCATCCTGCTGTCTGCATCCATCCGCCAGGGGTGAACAGAACATGAAGGGTTCAGTCAGACTCAAGAGAGAATGTTCAGTTGGGAATGCTCCAGGCAGCAGACACCCTGTTTCACTTGAGGCTTTTCTTACTCCGTTAGTCATCTGGATAATGTCACTTGGTGGCAGTGTAATGTGCACAGTGATTCTGGCATGACCCTTGGTGGGGCTGTTGGCCTAGGCAACTTGTTCATACTGTATAGTTTGGAATGATGTTTACCTCCTTTTTTTGTTCCATCAAGGCCATCTGTGCATTTTCATTTGGTAGTGTGTGACTGAATAGTGCTTTATAACAGAGACTGTGTTGTGCTGATGTTATTTATATAGCCCATTTATTCTGATGCCGAACAGCCACAATAACTTCACTGTCTTTTCTAATATGTAGAGGAGCCTGGGTGTTTTTTTAGTTCATGTTACTTGTGTGTCATTGTTTGATGGGAGTCCTGTGAGGTTACCAAGGCAACAGTTGAATCTGGTTTCCTTTTGGTTGGTCTTTTAATCTTTCTCACTCGCTGCAGTTTGCATATCCTCCAGCAGTGACCTTGTAATTAGATTTGTCTTATTCCTGCTCACAACTGCAGAGTATTGGAGACAAATGAATTCTGAGATTGATTAGTAGTTGAACAAAGAACCCCATGGAGTAATTTCAGTCATTCCTCACAGAGAAGGGAATCCTGTCCTCTATTAAGGGTTTGTTTAAACAGGAAAATGCCAGATGGTGACAAAGAGGAAAGGCTGGGGGGTCTGACATGTTCAACGTGGCCTAGGCCCAGTTCAGTAGGACAAGTACAGCAGTTACATCTGTCTTCATATAGTCAAAAACCCCAGTCTGAGCCAATATCTCCAGATATTTTTAAAATGCTGCTCATATTGAGGAGAAATTACAGGCCTTCTGGTTTATAAGAAAATGAACATGCAAACATCTGGTGCAGTTATGGTACTTAAACAGGCGAGGCACTGTTTGTCACCACTCCAGACGCTGAGTTAGTGTATTGGTGATAAATCTCACAGGAGACACTGCAGAGAACTAAACACACCCCTGCTTCTAACCGTGATCTGTTCCCTAAAGTTGTCACTGGGACACATCCTTGACAACATCTTTAGCTACAGTCAACCACAAGGCATTGAAGAATATTTTATGAGTTAGGATTTATGCCCCCCTCGCCCCCATCATGAGCATCCTGTGGAGGAGGGGTTACTGCGGATTTGTGCAGAAAGGAGTCACCTTTTAAAGGGGATCTCAGTAAAATCAAGCAGAGCTCTTTCTAGGTTCTGATCCTCTCTGCTCCTCAGTCCTTATATTGTGCATCACATTAACATACACAGAGCTTATATTACTTATAATGGTTCTATCTGATGTTATTGTCATAGTGGTATTCCTTTGGGCTCATTGGAGGATCAGTGAGCCATCCAAACAGGCTCATTCAGTCTTATGTCTGTGCATGTGTGCTGGTGGTGAGAGTATGCTTAATTGTGCAGCAGTGCATACAATGTGCTAATGTGCCAGTGCTTATAGTTTTCTTTGGGAGCCATCAGTGGGATTTATATCGTTAGTAGTATTATGTGCAATCCATCTTTTTTGTCTTATGTATCCCTAAAACACACATTCATTACATGGTTAGGATTTTACCATATGCCTGACTATTAGTAGCTTCTGTCTTGTTTACAGTATGTGGGTTTGAGTGTGTGCCTGTCAGTAACAGACCAGACACATGCGTGGGGGGGGATCTGTTCCAGTAGTAAGCGCAAAGCCGCAGTGGAGCCCATCCCCTGCTCCCTCCCTGAGATGCCTTACTTGTAGTGAGGAGAGGAGCTGCAGCCCCTTGCCACTCCTTCCCCTTCTGCAATTGGAAGAAAGAGGCCTCCTCCCTCCCCTGCCTCATTGGCATGCATGCGGTGCAGTGTGTGTATGAGGAGAGGAGAGAGAGAGAGAGAGAGAGAGACAGCAGTAAGTGCAATGGGCTAGAGGAGAGCGGCGAGGAGGAGGAGGAGAGTGAATGAGAACTGCTGGATCTGCCGTTCCTGCGTGCCTGCCTGTCGTCTGGCGAAGCTGGGTTTACTGTCGCGCCACGCTGCGCTGGCACAGAGCAGAGTCACGGCCGGTTTGCACAGCCGCCTGCACACTCAGCACTGGTACTCACTCCAGCGACACACCACCAGCAAGGAAAAACCAGTGGCCCAGCTCACCAGGCTTTCTCCATCATCAAGGGGGACACAGCAGCTACGAAGGGGCCTGATGCTATAATTTAGGCACCAGCTGCTACCTTAACAGAATCCCCCACTACCTTTTCCCATCCTTACCACCACCACTCCTCTTTTGCTCCTCCCTATGCCCTTGTCCTCGGCGTCTCCTTTCACCTCCCTGGCCAGTATATGGATAGAAGCTCCCTGTTTCAGCTCATACAAGAGCAGGTAAGTGAGCAAGCAGCGGCAGAGGTTTCTATGGTTACAGGCTCCTGGCCACCTTACCATCAGAGCTGATGGTAGGATTGATAGCAGGGGCTGTTTGGGCAAACTGAAAACGAGAGCCAACACGACGGATGCGAGAATCATGGAGCCATGTGGGCCCCGAGAATGCGAGGTCAGATCATGAGCCACAGCAGGAGGGGGGGGGCAATCATGTCTGGGTTTATGGAGGGTTAATGGGAGGAAGGGATTTGTGTGCAAATGGGTTGATCTATGAATGGATGTATAGGTGAATTTGATTGTTTTAGTCTTGGTATGAAAAATGAAAATGATGAAATAATGTTTAATAACAAAGAGAAGTCACATAGCTGCTGCATTAGTGCTTGCAACAGTCATGCTGTTTGTGCATGGAGGTGTCTGTGTGTGGGTTTTTTTTTTTTTTTTTTATCTAATTCATAAACAAGACCAGGTTCATCTTGGACTCGTAATCCCCAATCACATCATCTCAGGGTCACAAGAGCCAAATATTATTCTGAGTTTTATTTTCAAGGTTCAAGAAATGAGTCAGTTTCTGTGAAGCCCAGGTCACAGTGTTTCCTTCTGAATAGAAGTTATGATTTTGGTTTAAACTGTTTCCCATGTTTCAGCCCTGTTGTTAAAGGTGATTACCCAGTGTTGGTGTCCATATTTAGGCCAGTGAAAATGTTCCCCTTGGCATCTAGCTTTTTTGAATTGTCTAGACAAACAGCAGTTTTTATTGTCCAATCAGATCTATGTTTGAATTTAGCTTTGGTGTACCACTTCCAAAATTAACAACCCAACATGGATTTGAAGGCACATCCTACCCAGAAAGTATGTATATATTTGGCCAGTGCGCCTGAACATATATGTGATTGTATGGGTATTTCCTGCCTTCGTTCATGTCTGGCATTTAACTCTAAGCTTTGTAATGTGTCTCCTGTGTTTCATGATGAACCAGCCTATCTGTTTTTGGGGCTGATTGGCAGATAGATCAGGCTGTCATTCTATCCAAGAGGGAGAAATTGATTTTGTTGCTTCAGGGTTTAGGGGTCACGAGTGGCCCATCAGCAACACATTGATCAACAAACTGGTGAGCCTTGGGGAGGATGTGTGTCTCTGATCACACACACAGTTGCATTTTTATGAATGCATGTGTTTTTATAAGAGGTTGAGAAAGCCGATGTGGGTTGAGTGAGAAAATGCTCTGCAGTCACACTGAGTCATTTAACTAGTAAGTGATGTCTTTCTTTAAAAAAAAAAATATATATATATACTTTTTTTTTTTTTTTACAGGCATTTTTTAAATGCTGAGACTGATTTATCTGTGTCCATATCTGTTTTTGAAGGTCCTGGGCTGTAGATGAATCCAGTATTACCACACTGTAAACAGCTGGTTGTTGGTATTGACTGTAGGGTTTACTCTGCTTGTGTCAGTATGTTCATATAGGCAAGGCCACAGTTGAGCAGACCACAGTCCTATTAAGCTCAAGTCTAGACCAAGTCACTCAAACTGGCTGATGACAGGCTTTTTCCACCTTTGGGACTCCATGGAGCAGCTTTTTATTTAGCAAAGGTCTCTCTAATTAATCTAGAATTAAGTAAAATCTGCCAGCTGATTTTTGGATGGCAAACAGGTACACTTGTTTTTAACTAAGCCTTCTGCCTGCCTAAACACTGGGTGCTTTTTTCTCCCTCATCTTCATCCAGGAACATATTTTGCAGAACGTGCTTCATGTTTTTGCAGCTCTGTCCTCCAAATTTATTTGGTCACATTCACTGGAGGCTCCCCACAGTGACCACAGTATCCTACTGTCCTCTACTCCACAAGAGCAAAAACATGCATGAGATGTGCAATAAACTTTAATGCCTTTGTGTGTGTTTTTCAGTTTTCCTAAATCAGTATGTGATTTTCTGCACTAAAGACAAACTGGACATGTTTAGTTTGTGTGAACATTGTGGATCTAAAGTAGAGGAGATTTTGTAACCCTGTCACACTGCACCACTTGAAAATGCTGCATGGGTAAAGAAAAAGAAAAGCAACAGTGGCATCATATGACTGAGTTTATTAGTCTTTGTCTGCAGGAGGTTTCAATGCTGAGCTCAGGCTATTTCTGGCCTGTGCGGGCTCACGCATATGCTCATGATCGGAATATGCACACAGAGACACGGCTTCTCTGATAGTCAGCGCCAACAATAAAGCAACTTGATAGTTGGTAGCACTCAGCCACTGAAGTGTGCTATCAGCATTAGTTGCTGAATATCTCTCCCACGGGTCCTTCAGTTCCTGTCTGGCTTATTTCTATCTCCACCATAAGGACGAAGGGTTCTGAATTCTATTGTGACATGTTTACTGTCCCCTTTTATCATTCCCTGATGCTAATTTGCATTGAGCTATAAATGCCTCTGGATGTTTACACTGTGTTATAACACCAGGAAATGTGGTCAGATGATTGTTTGCATTAAGGAAAATTCCTTGGATGTCTCTCCGCTTGAGGAGAGATACTGGCTTGGCTCTTATGGCCATCACATTGCAGTGCCACAGTGGTAAAGATTGTGCATAATGATGGTAACAGCAGGGTAGAAAGAGCATGCATTGTGATAATTACAGAGTCAGTGGCCCAGTTGTTAGTTAACACCAGTGAGTCCTGAGGGCAGCAGAGACTAGGCCACCACTAGGCTTTATCTGATTTCATGCAAATATGGTCTTCCCTGTAAATGCCACTGCCCTCTGCAGATACACAGCCCCGTTAAGGCTTGACAGTCTTGTTCACAGAGACCAAAGTAGTCTGTAGTGTTGGCTCTGTGCCACTGGGTTAGCACCATGTTGTTGAGACTGAACTTGGGAACCGTGCTGGTGCTGCATTTCCATGTCATGGAAGTTATGATCACTATTTTCCAATGAGTAAGTACTGTTCCTTCAACCCCTAGAATTAACTGTTCAAACTCCAGCACTGGTGTATGATCAAAGCACCATTTTGGTAATTGGTCTGGTAAAGATATTATGACTTTTTGTTTACTCTTGGCAGTAGTTAGTAGTGTTGCCTCAGAAGGTTCCAGGTTTGAACCTTGTTGTCGACCTGTGCCTGTGTGGGTTTTCTCCAGGTACTCTGGCTTCCTCCCACAGTCCAAAGATGTGTACGTTAGGTTAGGTTGATCGGTGACTAACCTTTCAGTAAGTGTCAGCCCTGTGATAGACTGGGCATCTGTCCAGGGTGTACCCTTGTCCAGTGTCGGCTGGGATTGGATCCAGCCTTCCTGCGACCCTGGATAAGCAGCATAGATAATGAATCGATGTTTACTCTTGCTTTTGACAGCAGGAGAGAGTTCTAAAAAGAACAGATGTTATAATCTGTAGCGTCAGCCATACCTTTTCGGTGTGCAAAAAAATCTGTTGTCTCAGTGTTGTATTGTTTTGGATTTTCGTTCTGTGTTGCCTTGATGGAAGTAATTTCAGTTTAATGATTTCAGTATATTTGACCAGGTAGTAATTATTGTTAAAGTGCATGCAAGCACAGCATTATACAAAGTACATCCTAATTTAATGTGTGTAATCAGAAATGTATAAGGTAATAAGATTTAGGCCTAGTGCTGGCAGTTATTTTTATTATTGATTAATCTGCCAGTTATTCTCTTGATTTGTTGTTTGGTGGTGTTTTGGTTAACTTACAAATCTGCTAGTGCTACACACAGGGTAGGATGATAGGACTGCCTGTGTTTTAGCCCAGTGGCTGTACATCTGTTATGGCTAAAGTTTTATGGTTTGCCCTCGGGCTGGAGGCTTCCTTCTTGAGCCCCTGTGGAACAGACAGATAAGTCAGCTGTGGGCTGGGGTCAGTCGGGGTCACTGCACTAAAGGTAATAGAGGCCCCACGAGTTAACACTGAGATCATTCCCCTGCAGTAAGCATTCCACTCCTTTTTGCTGTCCTCCTTCTCGTACTCATGGATACGTTTTCATCCTGGGCCTTCTCTGTCTCCTCCCAGCTGCTTTTGAGCCAGCCAAGTTCAGTTGCTATCTCTCCCTTAGCACTTCCTCCTTCCATCTGTAATCATCTGCCCCACCTCCCGTCACATCTAAACCCTCCATTCGTCTTATTACCACCTAATTCTTATGTCATTAGGCCCTTTCTATCTGACTATATTCATTTTTTGTTCCCTTCTAAGGCATTTGTATGCTTCCCTCCTTTCATCGCCTTTTCTCTTCCCCTTTTGTGTCTTTCCTTCGCCTCTCAAACGCCAATATGTCCGGGGGGAAAAAGAGGGGGTAATGCAAGAAAGGGATGACACACAGGCAACTTGTAACCATAGTAACACATACAGCTTGTCAAAGTGTCGCCCTCAACAGTGTTGGATCGCTTCAATAACTACTTCTCTTTGTGCTATATCCCTTCTTCTTCCAACCCTTTCTTCTCTCTGTCCCCCCTCCATTTACACACGTCACCAGCCTGCCCAAAAAAAAAACACTCTCCTTGCCAACATTCATTCATCTGAGTGAACCTCAACTCCATAACTGATAACCCTAATTGGCTACAAGAACCAGTCCTCCACTTTGTATCCTCAGCAGACAGTCTTTCCTATGGAACATTCTTCCTGAGTAAGGTCAGACTATGAAGAGACTAGTACCTGTGCAGTATGACAGCTCAGCATCAACACTTGGTCTGTGTAAATGCTCACAGCCATATACAGTGTGTCGCTGTGTCTGAGTTTGTGCTGCTGCTGTACGTGTAGTGATGTGCTGACATATGGAGGCTGACAGTAATCAGACGTCTCCGGTGTGGCTCTCTGTTCCCTCTGCCAGCCTGGGCTGAGCCAGGAGCACATTAGAATCTGATCTATCTCCCCTCTGTGGCAAATGGATGCAGAGTATTGGAGTGTGTCACAGCCCCCTTATAGGAAAGAGAAAAGGAATCACTGCCGGATTGCTCTGTTAGGAAGACACAGAATAATAGAATTTTTATTCTGTGTGCGTCTTCGATTCATTTCTGCCTCCTCCCTGGCTGTCTGTCTTCTTCTCTTCTCTGCTTCATACCTTCTCCTCCTCCTACTGTTGCTTTAATTTCTTTTTTCATTTCTTTAATTGCACTAACTGAGCCCCCCACCTCCCTCTTCCATTTTCCTACCTCCTGACTCTTGCTTCTTTTTTGTCCTTTCTTCACCCCCTGTATTCCTCACATGTCATCCTGGTGGTCTACACATCACAAACACTCACCATATTGGCACCATTTTGTTCAGCTCTCACCAAGGGAAGGATGGGGCCGTGTTTTAACAAATGTCCATAGAACATACAGTTAAGGGGACTATCTAAAATGAGACCTGGGCCCATTTTCTTCCTCATCTTGGTTAATTTTTACTTATAAATTTGGTTTTACGTGCATTTCAAGCCACCCTGAGATTGTTGTCTGTCATGGAACCTGTTGAGATTACAGTAAAATGTGTGAGGGACAGTGACCAAGGCTGAGAGATTCTGTGGATTTTGCCCTTCATGTGTGCACAATCTTCAGTTAAAAAGTGACATTAAGAGCCTTATCAATAGTTGCCCTGGCGACCACAATGGTTGTGTATGTACCGAGCCATGACTAATATCACTTAAAAGCAGTTTTCCTCCTACAAAATTGTGTTGTGTACCCAGCGTACTGGAAAAATATCATAACAAAATCCTTCCACTACATCAGCCAGTGGGAAAACACTCAACTTGAGTCAAGCATCATCAAAACTAACCCATTAGTTTCTGCCTCCCCTATGCTCTCCCAGGTGAATAAATAAGTGTTCAGGAAAGGCAGATTAAATGGATTTAAATGGATGTTTCTGTTCAACTAGATGACTAGAAAACCTCTGGAAGAAAACTACGTACATTAAATACATTTAGACAGGTACACAAGCACACACACTCTCAAACAAATGGATTCCCTGATTGATGAGGTTTGCTCCTTTGAGCCTCCTGCAGTAGAGACGCAGTGCAGTTCGATACTACTCTCATGTAGTCGGTGTAACACCTTTACCTAACCATGTCAGAGCAAGCTCAGTTCAGACTCAGACAGCCTAGACAGAGATTCATCCTGCGGACTCATGACGCGGGCAACGATGATCCTGCATGACTGACTCCACAATGACGCAACATCGGAAAGTTCGCTCCTCCCTGGGGCAACAAGAGGCTGTTGGTTTACTACCCGAAACCTAATGAGGCTGTGTTAGCATTCAAGAAACGGTAAAATGAGAAGCAGTGAGGGCTCTTCCCATGTTGTCTCTTTGTACTGCTCCAGATTGTCCTCAGGCACATTTCCACAAACACAGTCAGATGCACTACGGGGAGCTGGCATGAGAAATTAACACTCCATTGGAGAGCAATTGAATTGCATTTAAGAGGCAATGGTATGGCAGGAAAATCAAATAAGTATGTGTAGCTGCCCAAAAAACCCAACACATTACATAAACCAAGGGAAGATACACACCCTATACTTTAAAAGCCATTTTTAACTCGGCACTATTTTGGACAACCACGCTCAGCCATTTTTATGACACTCTCTCACTTAAATCAATTATGAGGAATAGCCCTGGCATACAGGCATCAGCAGTAATAACCCATAGGGTTGTGGACCTCAGTGAGTGAGTGGTGACTATAAACACCACACTGGGTGTGAGTCACGATTGTGACCAAGGATGGACTCTCACAGTCAAATGAAGTGCCCACTTGGAGACAAAGACTGAGACCACATTTATTCCAGGGAACCTGCAGGTCACTGTATATTACATTGACATGCCCACCTGTCTTCTCTCACCACTCCTAACCTCAGCATTTGTTCTGCTGTTTTCCTTTGCAGTCCTGCTTCTTTAATGAGGTTGAATGGGGCTTTTTCGTTCAAAGGCATCATAGAGGCAACACAGCTTAATTAATACCGGTGTCACTGCCTGAGCTGATGCTTTTCACCCTGTGGCTCTCATTTGTTGTTATGAGGCCCTGTGTGTATGTCTCAGCTGTCTATACTGATGCACTCTCCCTCAGGATAGTCGCACTCTGTGCTGTTTTTTACTGAAAAAAGTCATAACTAGAAACACTTTTCACACCATTTTTATCCCAGTGGTCTGAGAGTGAGCTGTTGTTTTTCCAGCTGGACCCAGAGAACACCGGTTTCATCGCAGTGGAGAACTTCACCAGCCTGGTGGAGCACCATGAGCTGCAGCTGGACCCATCCAAACTGGACATGCTGTTAGCCCTTGTCCAGAGCAATGAAGAGGGACAGGTGTGCTACCAGGAGCTCATTGAGCTGGTGAGTGGAAACCAGATGCACTTACTGTATATTGATGCAGATAGTAACACAGAGGGAGACACAAAGCGTTTCATATCCTACAGCACAGACACAAATCTCCACACATACAGACATTTCTGTTGGATTTCACAAAGGTTACAGAATTGATTCAGACAAAGCCTGCAAGCTCTGCAGGGCAAAAAATTGACTCAACCATTCAGGTCATTGTCCTGCAAAAGGAGGATCAATTGTTTCAGTTAATATGTTGGTAAACCCAGACACTTAATCTCACAAACAGTGCACAGCAAGTATTAGAAAATATCATCAAGATGCTGACAGAACCGCAATGTTAAAGCAGCAAATGTCATTTATTATAACTGATGTATTTAGACTAATATATTGAATAGTGTTGTTGCATAGCATTGTTGAAGTTCTAACAGCAGCAAGATGTATACAATGCAAGAATATGTTTGAAAATGTTTTATATGGGCTACTGATATGAGTCTGAGGATTATTAAGTTCTTTTAACTGCAGCTGCCTGCTATGAATATGAGGTCAGACTTTTCCTCTTCTTACTATTCATTTCTTGCCTCTTCACCTATCTGTTTACAGTTGTGCTCCTATTAAAAATTCATGCAGAACTTTATATGTGAAAGGCTGATTCTCTCTGAGTGCACAGATGAGGACCTGCCTTCGGCTTTTGGCACCATACGAGTGTAAGCAGCGTGATTAATTCACCGCAGTGCATATTTAAATTCTTTTAGCTCATTTCGCCCTCTCTTGCTTTCTCTCTTCATTTATCGTTATTTTTCTTTTAATCTCTTTCTTTCCTCTTCTGTTGTGCTACCTAGTGTATGTAACGCAGGCCGCACTAGGCCACTCAATTTGGAGCAGGTAACATTTCTGAGGTCTGTGTTGCTACAGAGAAATAACCACTGGGTGCTGCTCCCACTGTGCATCCTCTCCTTTACATCAGCTCTCCCTCTTAGCTCCCTGCCTCTGCCATTTTTCAGGTGGTGTTATTTTTTTCGAAACCATCTCATTTCCGTGAATCTTCAAACCCTCACTCTGTGAGCCATGTAATATCATCCTCCTTGTGTGCACAGATCTTATTTCTTGCTTTTTGATTCCACGCTCTTTGTGAGCATATGCCAGGTGGGGGAAAAAAACGACCCTACCTCCAACGGCATCAGGGAGACACTTATAAAATTGCCCATCAGCCAAATGCAAATTGCCTTCGATTAGCCCAGCGCTGGCAGTAGCAGGCAGTAATCGGAGGTAATTTGAGATCGCCCAGGCTTACATAGATATCGACCCCCAGGTTTGATTTTACAGATTTGTTTTCTGATCTACGCACGTGAACAAATGTAGACCATACCCACAACATTCTGCACGTGCACACAGTTTGCATATATGCAAAGACTTTTAAGCCATTTACTATTAATTGCAGTCACCCACTCTCTGTCTCACTACTTCCCTCTCCCTGACATACAAATGCAGACAGGCTCTCATTCATACACATGAGCACTGCCAGTACAGATTTGCTGACTAATGTAGAGGGTATTCGAATGTTGATGTGAATCGGGCTTCCCGTTGTGCAGCGTGTGATGTGTGAGCTCTGCAGGTCTCCTTTCTCTGGGATGAGCTCCAGGCTGCCTTGGGGAGAGTGTCGTATGTTGCTTGGCATTTTCCACCAGGTCATCACCAGAATTTTTGCTCTCCTATTTTCTTTCCTCTCTGCTGCTCTCTGAGTTTGATCATTTTTACCTAAATCTCCAGTGTCCTCATTTGCTTTAGTTTGGCTTCTCCCTTCCGTTATTTGCTCTGCTCTCAGTCTCCGTTCACATCTATATATTTCAGGCAGATTAATAAGTAGCACTCCATGTGACAAATAACAGTTGTATTTTGATTTGGAAAGTTCAATGCTACCATCATATTATAGCCAGAGCCTAAATTCTGGTGCTGAGATTGATTTGTGGTCTGGCCTTGACCATAGTGTTCATTATTAAAATGAGCATAAGAAGGTGCAGAATATGCTGGTCTCTCTCTCTACAGGCCATGTCAGTGCTTTTAGTCCACAAGCTGTTGAGAATTCTCTCAGCTGTGTCTTTAACGGGTGTTCAGCATTCTTCTGATCTGTTGTTCTACGTTCACTCGGTGCAGCCGTGAAGCCGTGCTGCTTTCTCAAATCTCAGTGGGTGTAAATGTGTTTGAATTGCACCGTTAGGCAACAGCTTCTCTAGTGCATGTGTGTGTAAGACTGTCTCTGACAACATTCTCGTTCAACTCATCTTTCACGCAGGGCGACCTTAGCTAGAAAACTCCACCAGTTCAGCCACAAGGGTGAATAAGTAACGCTCTGCTAAAATCTGTCTTGAGGTGCTATACACTCACACACATTTGTATAGCTGTTTTTGTGAGGACATTTATTGACATACTGCTTCACCCAGCCCCTTTCCCTAATCTTGACCATCAAAATTAAATGCTTACACTCAATCCTCACCCTATCCCTGACCCAAACCTAATTTTAACCTTAATCCTAAAACCAAGTCTTTGAAACGGGGTGCCAGAAAGGGAGAACAGACCAAAGTGTCCTTACTCCCCTAATATGAAACTGGTCCTCACAATGTATAGCTATATAAGTACTCACTCATTCACACATACACAACCACAGTGAATAGGTCTGTATCTGATTACTAATTCACAGTACATTTGCACAATAATCCCACACAGCAAGACAACCATTTTACTCGCAGTGACATTTTTTCGCACAGTAACAGACAAACAGAGACACACAGGGTGTCAAAGTTTGTGATAGGGCTTCATGGAGAAAGTTCTGTAATAGACAAGCATCTGTTTATGAAGGGAGTGTAAAACCTGGCCATCCTCAAGTCAGATATATTCCTGTGTGTGAGTCTATATGTATCAGTTGAGTTTCCTGTGATGCTATCATTTTCTAGATGTGTAATTAAAGAAGTGTATCATTGTTTTCCTTTGGGTGCTAATTTGGCTAATATTCAACGGAGATCCAAAATGGCTGCCATAGTTAATTAGTTGGGTAGAGATGCATATTTAGAGATTACCACCTCTCTTATCACCTCTCTCCAGGGACACTGATGTAACCTTTCAACATCACATCTCACACCAAACTCCATTCGAGGCTTTCTGTTTCAAATGGGCTGCAACTAAAAGTGATGCACTTTGCTTAAGTGTCCTGAATGTGAAGGTAGTTTTTCTAAAGTTTTAGCACCACGATGATTAAACCATGAAGGAAGGCTGGGGCCGAAAACTGCTCAGAGGGATAAAAGGTGAACTCTCATTTTAAAAGGATTTGGGCAAGAAAGAACCTGAATATCTGGGCCAGAGTAGAATCAGTGAGGCTGAGATCTGCAGTGAGTTTGTCTGAGAAAGAGAGAGAGAACAAGGGAGAGGGGGATTCTAGTCTTCTAAATGACCCACAAATTAGATGGCAAATGTGCACAGTGACACTGTTAGCCTGGTGCTGGTGAATTGCTATGCAAGATCGGTTAATTGCCAACATATTTGTATTGTTCTATTAATAATGTGTCAGCGATAGTGACAAAAGTGGTAGCCACCATAAACTCTGGGAAAAATCAGGAAAATTAATGGATTATTTTTTTGGCATCTGCAATACAGACACCTTAATAGCCTTTAAACCACATTTTTAAAATTGTTATTACTAATTAGTATTGAGCAGTGAGGTATTGACCATGTGGTGTGTCTAATAAATCGATCAAGAACAAATGACTAGAGCTGAGTGTAGCCTGTACAGTAGGTAGCACATAGCACAGAGGGTGAATTCTTGCTGTTTCTCAATCACACACACTCACACACGCACACACACACACACTGCTGTCAGAATGGCCCATTCAGCCATCCCTAAAGGAAAAAGGTATCTTTATCTTTGTGCTTTTAGCCTCAGCATCAATTATTCCCTGGCAGACATTGCTCTGTCAGGAACTTCCACCATTACGGATGCAAAAGTCAGAGGTGCCCCTCCCCCATGTTTTATGTGATGTCTGCGCACCTTGCATCATCACTCCTCTCAGCACATTATCTCAGGTTCTGGCTGCTCATGTGTGACTTATAGTCTGTTTTCTATCTCTCTCCTGTCGTCACTTCAAAAGGCTGCTAATGCTCACTTAGAGGCGGCAGTCCTGCATGTCGAGAAGGTGAGGCAGAATGACAGCTGTGTTCAGCTGTCTCTCAGGGGAACAAATTTGCACACAGGTGGTCTGAATTGAAGATACAAGGTGAAGAGGTGGCAAATGGTGTCACTGAGCCAAATACAGATTAAATAAGTTCAGAACAGAGACTATTTAGAGAAGAAAACCAACAGAAGAAGACAGCACAATTATATTTACATCCCTTAACCTCTCTGTTGCACCTTTCCTCTTTGTACAAGTACACGTCTTCATTTTCATTGTGAATTCATTAATATGAAGATATTTAGAATGAGAAAGGAGATGTCTCACTTTCACCATCCACTGGTGGCCTCCAGAATCTATAAATTAAGCTCAACAAGGCAGGCATCTCATTTTCCATTCTTCATTTCCCCTTCTCTGCTTTCCAGTGCCCCTCCACTCATCTTCTTCTTCTTTCATTCATGCCTCAAATATAATTGCATTTTCCAGGCTTGATTTCCATACTAAATATGCATCCCTCCATCTGCAGACAAGTCAGTAGCCCAGCTTGTTGTTCTGGTTATCACTGTACAACAGGCCCTCACACCCTCACTATACAGCCACTAGGGTGTCATAATTACCCACAGTCAGGGTAGTTACAGTACTATGTCCTATCTGCTAATTTCCAAAAGGGATTTGCACTTTTCCTGTTTTTCCTGAGTCATTTTTTTCAAAAGGAAAAGAAGCAACCGCTTCCAATTTTGGAGCAATCTGTTCATTATTTCTTCATTATTTGCTCATTTATTTACAATCCTTGTCCTCTAGTAGCCATTAGCCATTATGGAAACTGACCCACACTATGCCCCATGTTGTGTCTATATACGGTATAATGAGTCTACAAGCAGCAGGGTCTGTCTAATGAATTACCAATGGTGTGCTTTTATGGTGGTTGTACTCCCTACAGGTCCACTCGGCAGATTTCATTACACTTCACATGAAGCTGCCATTGTGTTTAAGGTTACTATTATGAGAAACCTACACATGGGATCTGCTGTTGTTGATTTATACTGCTAACAGCAACAGCTGCTGCCCACATGCCCGCTTTCTTCCCCCTCTGCTGTTTCCTAGAAACTTATTTTCATAAAGTGTCACAATACATTGTAACACAGTTTTATTGTCGCTTAGTCAGCAAGTTGTCCTCAAAGGACCTGTATTTTAGCTACATTAGAGATTAACAGGCATGTGGCGGTGCCTTTGAGTATCAGTAAATTCTACCTGTGAAGCAGCCATGCTAATGCAGATGTTGACACTAAACGATCCCTGGTGAGACAGTATTTTCAGTGGGAACTCGGGCAGAAACGAGCTGTCTGTGTTTGTTATCCTGACAGTTCTCTTCCTCTGCTGTCAATATAGTGGCATTAGGATAGTTTTCATCCTAATCCTCTATTAAAGAACTTGCTGTGATCTGGCCTTGCTGGCCTGCAGGCTGCAGCAGAGCTCCTGCTCACTAAGCAAACCTGGAGTCTGTGATAATGTGAACACACACACACACACACACACACACACACACACACACACACACTCTGAACTAAGATTTGCTTTTCAAGGGCAACATCACTTCAGCAGTTTGTTTGTAATGATGTCTGAGCTGCAATCAACCCTGCCAACAGTCACACTTTCACTTTGATTTAATGGGAAAAAAAACATTTATATATGATTCAAGTTTCGTTTCAGCCAGGAATGTTGTGATCACCAGTCCTTAGAAATTAGTATTTTCATTGCTACTGAGATATGTGACATAAAGGGATATTTGTATATAATTTCTGCATAAATTGAAATAATTTTTTTTTACTGCCACTTGTATAGATGGTGGTTTTATTAAACTGCATAATGCATCAAAGTGTTGAACAAAAATGAGCTGTTTTAACATGCTAAGATGCTTTAAAGAATAATGTCATTTTTCATATTAACAGTACTTTCAACACTTTTCATACAGAGACTAAAACCAGCAATGATTTGCCTCTACTCACAGTTAATGTCTGTGAATCTGTCGGTCCTGGATTATCTTATTCATCTGTCCCATAGACCGCCGCTGTTGTTCAAAAACAATTAAACTCACATCAGTGAAACACATCAGGGCACTGGTTGACACGTTTCCTCATTAAGAAACAAGCCTTTGATTTGTGTTGCCACAAAGGCTCCATAGGGTCATAACCTTTTACAGCCCATGCATGAGATCCCTGGATATGTTCAACAAAAATTTGGCTTGTTTTTATAATGAAGAATTATGTCACTCAGTGAAAAGGGTGTGTTTCCCTGTGTTTTTAATCGTTTTTGAACAACACAGGTCTATGGCACAAACAAAATAAGCTGATCCAGTACTGACTGACATTAACTGTGAGAAGAGGCAAATCATTGTTGGTTTTAGTCTCTATATGGGGAGTGTTGAAAATATTGTTAATATAGAAAATGACAGACCTTTAGACATTTTGTGTGATATAAGTGATTCCACTTAGTCAACGCATGCAAAAAAACAAAATCAAATAAACAAATGGTAAAGTTTAAAAGATAAAAATAATATATACAAAAAAAAAAACCTGCCTGTGGAATGCTGTGATGTGCAAGAACAGATATCCAACCATTTAGCATGAATAAATAGCAAAAGCAAAGCTTTACTGTTCACTGGAGCCTCTGAACAACGTCAGAACAACAGAAAAAGTCCTAAAAGAAGATGCACTTGTCTCCAATCTGTCCACTGACTATTTGATGTTAGAAGTAGGAATTAAATAAACCGTCACACATCATATGAAAAAAAACTATCCTTCCACTTACTGTGAAGAAAGTTATGGATTTAATTGCTAAGATGAGAAATTCAGCTGCAGACAATGATGAGATCATCGTGGTAAGGTGTGTCCTCCTCCAGCTGCTGACAGTAATGCTTATAAAACAACTTGAGGCAAGTTTAAAAATGACATTAAGCCTTTGAGCGACATGGAACAAATGCAGCAAATGATCCTGTATCTGTCTAGCTGTTTACATAAACTCACAATCATCTGGCCTGTCAGCTAAAAAAATTGAGACTTAAGAGTGATGCCAATCTTCTCATCTAACTCTCCACTTTCCTCAGGTTTCTTTAAAATCCAAGTGGTTGCCCACAGTGTATTACACATGTATGTTTTTTTTTTTCATCATTTTCTCAGATGAGCAGCAAACGCTCCAGCAGTTTCCGACGTGCCATCGCCAATGGCCGCCGCACGCTGCAAAGGGAGATCCTGCTGGACGAGACGGGCCTGGGTCTGTACAAACGTTTTGTTCGCTATGTGGCCTATGAGATCCTGCCCTGTGAGACAGACCGACGCTGGTACTTCCACCAGAACCGCCTCTGTCCACCGCCAGTCTTCATTGCCATTGTCACCATCGTCCAGGTTAGGGGATGACATTATCAGGTTGTCTTGGGGTTCAGTGGATAAATCTTGTGCCAGTGATACGTGATGTGAATGTAGAGAGTTCTATTGATTTATCCCCACTAATTCAGGTGTTAAAACATTTTTCACCTGTATTATTTTATGCACT